TGACAGCGGTGAGGCGTGTGTATGTCAGCAGTGCAAAGGAGAATGTCAGCATAAGCGACTCTGTGTGTATGAGTATGTGTGTGTGTGTGTGTGTGTGTGACTGTAATGTGTGTTTTAGGTAGGTAGGTTATGTGTACCTGTGTGTGTGACGTGTGTGTGTATGTGTGTGTGCGTGCGTTTGTGTGTGTGTGTGTGTGTGTGTACGTGTGCGTGACTGTATGTGTGTAGGTAGGTAGGTATGTGTATGTGTGTGTGTGTGTGTATGTGTATGTGTTGTATGTATGTATGTATGTATGTATGTATTGACTACATATATATTTGTATGTAGTAGGTAGGTATATATGCACCTATGTACGTATGCGAGCGCGTGTCTGTCTCCCTGTAATGTGTGTGTCATTCCAGCCCATATACATTTATGCAGATGCCTCCGCCGCAAAGGACGACCTCGTCAGCATCAGCTAAAAGAGGCATCACGCACTCGCCGGCGGAGAAAATGGCATTACTCGCCCAAGGAATGCGGGGACAAACGTGGTGCATTATTAAACCGCTCATTGGAGGCCGTGTGACAGGGGGAGGGATAGAGAGGAAGGGGGAAGGGATGGGGGAGGGGGGGGGAGGGGGAGGGGGAAAAAGGGGGAGAGGGGGAGTGGAGGGGAGGGGAAGGGGGATGGGAGGAAGGAGGAAGAGAAGGAAGGAAGGGGATAAGGAGGGAAGGGGGGAGGGGGTGGGAAGGGGAAGTAGGAGGAAGGAGAAAAAGGGGAAAGGGAGGATAGAGAAGGAGAAAGGGGGGGGGATAGAGAGGAAGGAGAAAAGGGGGAGAGGAGGAAAAGGAGAAGGAGAAGAAGGAGAAAAGGAGGGGGGATAGAGAGGAAGGAAGAAAAGGGGGGGAGGAAAGAGGGAGGATAGAGAGGGAGAAAGGGGAGGGGAGGTGAGAAGGGGGAGGGGATAGGAGGAAGGAGGAAGGAGGAAAGGTGGCAGCATGTGGAAAGTTAAGGGGGTAAGGGAAGTGGAAAGAGAGGGTGAAGATGGGAAATAGAAAGGAAGGGGACGTAAAGAAAGTAAAGGAAAGGGGAGAGGAGAGGGAAAGGGAAAAGAAGGGGGGGAAGCAGAGAGGCAAATGGAACGAGGAGAAAGTGGAGGGAAGGGGAGTGGAGGAGAGGAGGAAGGTGGAGTAGGCCGTTCTACCGCGTGAACAAAGAGTACTCCTGCACTTTTGTACTCAAAATGTACACCCGATTAAAAAGCGTACTCTGATCGGCAAAGGAGCATCCGTCAGCTGACCAACAGGGAGGAAATAACAGACTTTGGAAAACAGTAGCTGGAGGAAGAGAGAGAGAAAGAAAGAAAGCGGTTAAATGAATGTAAAAATAAATGCAAACTTTCATCCATAGATACAGAATTCACCAACGTACGAGAGCGAATAGTTACAATCACCGCCAATCACACAATCACACAGCGGAAGTTGATTTTATTACGGTGTTTGATTGGGTAGAGGGGTGGGGAGCGGTAGGGGGATGGGGGGGGGGAGCAGGAGTTGGAGCAGTGAATGGAGGGGGAGGGATAGGGTGGGGGGGGAAGGATAGAGTAATGGGGGAGGATAGGGAAGGAGAGGGTAATGAGGAGGAAGGGAAGGGATAAAGGGTAGGGAGGGAGGTAAGGGGGGGAAGGGATAGGGGAGGGAGGAAAGACGGTGAAGGATGGGTGGGGATGGAAGTAGCATTTTTGGGAGGAGGGGGGGAGGCAGGTCATTGCATGCCGTGATGGATGGCACGACCACATGGATTAAGCTTGGCAGGCAGGCAGGCAGGGCAGCAGGCAGGCAGCAGGTGGCAGGCAGGCAGGCAGGCAGGGCAGGCAGGCAAGGCAGGCGGTGGGTTTTACTAAAGGTGATTCGAGAGCGAGAACTGTTATTGGGCTTTTTAAACAGTAGTATCTATGTGTGATTGGCTGGTAGTTTTGGGGGGTTGGTGGTTTGTTTTATTTTTGCGTTTGATGATAATGAGAGTTATTGTTATTATATCATCATTATTAATATGGAGTTTTCAATGTCAACACAACAAATACCTCCTACATATCAACATCATCATCATCACCATCACATCAATGCAATCACCATTAGTCATCAATTCATCACCATCATAGTCAATCATCATCATCACCCATTAGTCATCATCATCAATCAACCATCACCACCATCATCAGTTATATCATCATCACCGGTCATCATCCATCATTACCGGTCATTATCAGCAGCGCTCTTAACTCATTTATTTCGTCTCTTCGAAAACAGATCCACTATCTCCAAGTCCTATATCGTAAAGAATAAAGAATATATACGATTTTCCGAGGACACAGGCGTGGTTTCCTATTTCCCAGCCGTGGAGAATATTTTTTTCATAATGGCTGGCGTAATTCTATATTTCCGGGGTCAGTTAGAAGCTAATTGCCCCCGTTTTCCTTTTTTTTTTTTTTCTTCCTTCTTATTTTTTTTTTTTTTTTTTTTTTAGCGCTAGAAACCGCCTGTGGAATGATAGATCGGGAATCGTAATTGTAAAGTTTGTATTATTTTTTATTTTTTTTCTTTTTTTTTTTTTTAAAAATTGGTTTTTGGTTTTTCCATGTTCGAATCCATGCACGGCGCACATCGGAGCCATGTTGTGAACGCACGGATAGGCCGGTGCGTTATAGTGTGAGGGATGTACAGACATAAATACGAGTTGAATGTTACTGTGTAAGACGCTTCGAATATTCACACATGTAGCACACGCTTAAAAACGCACCGCACAAGAACACTCAACACTCACACATCACAACTCACACTCAATCTCACACTTCACACTCAACTCACACTCACACTCCACAACTACTCACAGCAAATTATTTGTTTGCATGGCACCCCACACAAATATTAGTGGGATAGACACTACACAGTCGCACACAACACACACACAACGACACACCACTATACGTCTCTCCCATACACACACACCCACACACACTACACACTCACCACACACCAATTGTTTTATAGTACATTGTGTCCATTTTACACGCACACAGCCTGTTTAGAACATACGGCCTGCAATACACTTTGAGTTCCTCCTAACAGCCGAACTCTCTACCGCGAATGACACACTCATGGATTCGCCTCCTATGCTAAGAAGATTCGCGTAGGAGAATGACGTCCATGGTTTTATATAAAAGCCTTCGAAGCAAATTTCCGGTAAACATCGTCCATTCCCCCCACTTCCCCCTCCTCTTCTCGCGTCGAGGAAGTTGCCTTGTGTCCGTNCGCCAAACTTCTTTTTTATTTTCGAACATTTCTCCAATTGCCTGCCCTCCCTTGCCTCACTTGTATAACCCTTCCTTCTCTCTTAACTACCCCCGCTTTACACCCCTTACCCCCCCAATTTACACCCCTCCCTCCACCCTTACCCCCTCTTTATCGCCCTCCCCTATACCCCCTCTAATCGCTCTTATTGCTCCTCCTTTACCCCCTCTTTACCTCCCTCCGCCTTCACCCCCTCCCCCGCTGGCGGAACGAGCGCAGGCGCAGAACGTCCACGAGCGCAGACGACCCAGCTGATGGCCGGAAGTAACGTAAGCGCCAAAATAACAGGCGGAATTAACGAGGCTGGTCGAGAACCTCCCGCGCCCGCCAGTTCGAGTTGATGCGACGGTTCTAATTGCTTGTTAATTGCACCTCCGCCGTGATTACCTGTCGTACGTGCACGATATGAATGGGATGACGAGGTAGGTACCCGCACTTGATAATTTGACGCCATGTAATATTCAGATTTACGCGACTGATACGCTGCCAATGGCGTATGTAAAGAAGGGTTATGAGCGCACTGGTTTTTCTCTTAAGCGTCTTTACTTGATCTTAAGAAAATGGGAAGGAGGTTTTAGGGGCTCAGGAATGTGGGACGACGCGCCGCTCACGATGATTACGGTTCTTAAAGAATAAAGCGAGTGATATTACACGGGCCGTTTTACAAGCTGGTGGTACTAGCATGCGTGTGTGCTGTGCGTGTGTCGTGTGACTTTGAGAGAGAGAGAGAGAGCGTGTGTGCGTATTTGTGTGTGTGTGTACGTGCTTGTGACTTAGAGAGAGAGAGAGAGAGAGAGAGAGAGAGAGAGAGAGAGAGAGAGAGAGAGAGAGAGAGAAGAGAGAGAGAGAGAGAGAGAGAGAGAGCGCGTGTGTGTGCGTATTTGTGTGTGTGTCCGTGCGTATGACTTAGAGAGAGAGAGAGAGAGCGTGTGTGTATGTTTGTATGTGTGTGTGCCTGTCTGTCTCTGTATCTGTGCACAGTCTCACACACACACACACCTACATGCCACACGAACACACAACCACTTATCTTTACATTTTGTCATTATCCCATCCGCCGAGGAAAGTTCAGCGAGCGAGACCCCGCTTTTTGTCCCCCCACCCCCCTCCAGCGCTGGACAAAGCCCTCCCTTCCCTCGCGAATCAGGCTTGACATTTGATCATCGAGGAGAGATAAGGTCGGTCCGAGATAAAGGGAAACCGCGAAAGGTCACCCAGGAACCACATGGCCTCGTTGACCTTCATCCCGTCGGCTAAAAATGGACCTCTGGATCGATCTTCATCCTGGCCGTAAATTGTAAATCGGACAGAAAGAGAAAAGATGGCGCCAAAGGTTTCTTCGTTATCTGCAGCGGCGATAAGAATGGAGTCTCTGAAAGCCCTTGGTCAGGTCGTCGAGGTCGGTCGGCTGGAGTGCGATGGACAGAGCTTCGTAACCTTACTTTGTTTAAGGTGAAGGAATTCCGTGGTGCGGTGGAGACTTTGTGGTATTACTGTGGTTGTGATTTTGTGGTATTATGGATTTTGTGATTTCGTGTCGTCAGTGTGGTTGTGGTGAACAGAATTGCTTCTTTTTATAGTGGTTGTGATTTTGTTGCGTTTATTTGTTATTGTTGTGGTGAAAAACTATTGAGTTTGGTTGTTGTTGAATGAGACTGCGTATGTTGTTCTATGGTGTGGTGGTCTTGGGTATAGGAAGAGGATATACTGTAGTAGGCAAGGAATTAGGTATTGCATTGGTGGTGCCCGAGTGTGCAATGGTTGAGGTTGGTGGTTTGGGAGCAATGGTTGTTGGGTCTGGTCGTATAACAAGAAGTTTGGTAGTAATTGCATTGGTAAAATCATGGAATTGCACGGTAGTCTGAAAGAGGTAGTGTGCCGGTAACTAGTAATACAGTGGTAGCGGACGGTCGTAGAAGAAAATGGTAGTCTAGTTAAATGTGATAATTAGACCAGTTTTTGATAATGGTAGTTAGGGAAGGCTTCGGAAAGCGGTTGTCGTGTTGAACAGTTGAGTGACAGGAATATGATGGATTCCCGAGATCATTCCGTCTTTGTAAACGTCTGGCGCGTGTTTGTATTGCTCGAAAGATTCTTAGCTGTGTTGGTTTTGCACTTTGCAGGTATCGAACGCCAACAAAGGACTTGGTCGCCGCTTTCGCTTTCTTCTCTCTCGTATTATTTTACTTGCCTAACTGATTTGTTTTGCGAAGAAAGAAACCATTTCCAATACGTTTTGTTTCCGTTCTTATCGATTTCTGTTAAGGATGCAGCGGTTTTCTTTTCTTTTTGTTTTCTTTCGACGGTAACTGAAAAACGTCCATATCCTTAGGTGAGCGAAGTAATATAAGAATTCCGTTCTGATAAACAGAGGGAATAAAGGAGAGAGAGAGAGAGAGAGAGAGAGAGAGAGAGATGAAGAGAGAGAGAGACTGAGAAACTGAGAGAAGAAACAGACAAACAGAAACCAAGAGAGAGAGAGAGGAAGACAGAAACATACAGACAGACAAACCGAGGCTAAAGAAAATACTTCGGCATCGCACCATCACCATTTCATTTTATTTTTCATCCGAGACACTTCGGCCAGAGTAGCTTCCTCGCCGCTTCCCCGATTCGTCGCCCCGATTCGCGCGCCCTTTCTCTCTCTCTCTCTCTCTCTCTCTCTCTCTCTCTCTCTCTCTCTCTCTCTCTCTCTCTCCTCTCTCTCTCTCTCTCTCTCTCTCTCTCTCTCTCTCTCTTCTCTCTCTCTCTCTCTCCCCCCGACGGCGCTTGGTTCCGCGGCGCAGCGAAGGTCAGGCTCTCTCGAAATCAGTTATCGGCCTTTCGCGGCGGGATAAAATTGGACATTTCCTCGCCATTGGCCGTAATTTTGCCAATAACCCTTCGGAAATTGCCGTTTTGGGCTTATTAGATTTCCTCAGGTTAATGTGATTATCATTGACGGCGAATTAGGCATCGCGTCACGACCGAGAGACGTCGCGGCGGCTGTTTGCGCTGCGTTCGGCGGAGATGAAGTGGATGGCGGGCGCTTGCATGCATGTATATATATATATATATAATATATATATATATATATATATATATATATATATATATATATATAATATTGACACGCACACACACACGCGCACACGCACACGCACACGCACACACACACACGCACACGCATACGCACCCAATGTGTATAAGTATATATATATATATTTACATGTATTGTATGTGTGTGTGTATGTATGGATATATGTATGCATATATACACCCATTTCTTCGCGCAAAGTTTTTTAATTCAGTCCCGCCCGGTTCGCCGCCGAGGGAGTGAAATATGAACGCCCGTAACTGCCTCGCGCGCCCAAGTTTGCGGCAGGAGTAGTTGCAGCTGTCACCTCCTCCTCTCCGCTCGGGCGTCGGCGATTTATGGATTTTCATTTATTTATCTGCGTCGCGGAGGCTGTGCTGACGAGACGCGGGATCGTCTGCAGGAAATCCGAATCGGGTTCTGCGAGGAAGTTTGGAGGGAGAATTTGCATATGTTTTTTTTTTTTTTCGTTTTCGTTGGTTGGTTGTTTTTTGTCTTTCGTTGTTAGTCTTGATTTTGTTTTGTTTGTCGTCGTGTTCGAATACTGTTGAGTTCGTATTTTTTTTATCTCCGGTTTTTGTTTTGTTGATTTATCTGATTTGTTTATTTTGGTCATTCGTCAGCAACGTGGCTCAAGGCATTCATTACTGAAAGTATAAACTTTTCCATTTCCTTTAATCACTCTATATCCTCATTCAACATACATGCTCTGATGATCCAAAATTGATCCAAAAATGAATGAACAAATGCATAATACCGCCAAATAAGACAAAAGAATTCTGATCTTGTGCATGACGGGCCCATTTCGTCTCGTCGCATGCACGCCCGGAACAGCCCATCAGCTGACTCAGCCCCGCCGCCGTCGCCTGCTCCTCCCGCCCTCGTTCCAGCACTCTGCATGGCGCGCGGGACGTCGAGGAACCCTTGTAAATCCCCGGGAGATTACTCGGGCAATCCCCTTTTTAATTCTCTTCTTCCTTTTTTGGGGATGCGGTTGAGGGAGGTTGAAGCTTTTTTTTAATCTCTCTGGCCAAAAGATTGGATTCAATTGAAATGATTCGGGATTCGTTTTGTGTCGACTCCGGGTTCGAGGCGATCTCATTTGCGCCGCTCGGGTGCGGTTGTTCGGCGGTCACGCTTGGAGGAGGCGGGAGAAGGCCAGTGGGAGGAAACAAATTAGAAACTCTCCTCTCTCCTCTCTCTCTCTCTCTCTCTCTCTCTCTCTCTCTCTCTCTCTCTCTCTCATCTCCTCTCTCTCTCTCTCTCTCTCTCTCTCTCTCTCTCTCTCTCTCTCTCCTCTCTCTCCTCCCTCCCTCCCTCTCCCTCCCTCCTTCCTTCCTCTCCTCCTTCCTCCCTCCCTCCTTCCCTCTCCCTCCTCCTCCTCTCCCTTCCCTCCTTCCCTCCTCCCTCCCTCCTTCCTCTCCCTTCCCTCTCCCTCCTCCCCCTTCCCCTCTCTCTCCCTCCCTCTCCTCCATCTTCTTAGGAAAGACGCGATCGCTCGGGTGCCTTGTGTAACTCGGGCGTCTTTGGTTCTCCCGTAAGATCTTAATGATATAGAAGACCAGTGTTTTTGATGTCTTTCGGGACCGTGTGTGTCTTTGGTGTTTTCTGAAGCCGAAAGAGTCGTTTCGTACGGCTTATTATCAAACCAGTGATCTTTAGATGGATATGAAAGGGACTGTATTTTAAGTAACATGGTATTGATTCGTCCTCATCAGCAAGAACCATTTCCAATAAAAAAAAATATGAAACAATGAACTTGTCAGAGCAAGGACTATAGTTAGATTTTTTTTTTTGATTGTTGGGAAACGAAGAGAAACATGAGCGGTTTCCCTTCCGCGTATGTGCCTCTTCGCACGAGTTCGCGGCGAGAAGACCTAGACTACTGCAACTTCGGCTCTGATTGAGTAATTGGAAGCCGAGAGAGAGAAAGTTTCCCCCTCGAGGCGGCCTGCGAGTCGTGGCGGGTCGCTCTCCGGAACGGGGAACACCGGCTGGGCTCGAGTTTCCGCGGCGGGTCGGGCGCGGGGCCTCGGGCTTCGTGGCGGCGGTTCGGTGGACGGCGGCTGCGGCGTCGCTGTGATGGGGAGAGAGGCAGACGATGCATAAGTAGATTGGGTGGATCGAGTTGCGGATAGGTAGATGGGCAGATAGCAGATATGTATGTATATATATATATATATATATATATATATATATATATATATATATATATATATATATATATATATGTGTGTGTGTGTGTGTGTGTGTGTGTGTGTGTGTGGTTGTCGGTTGTGTCTATGTGTGTATATATGTATATGAGAGAGAGAGAGAAGAGAGAGAGAGAGAGAGAGAGAGAGAGAGAGAGAGAGAAAGACAGAGAGAAAGACAGAGAGAGAGAGAGAGAGAGAGAAGAGAGAGAAAGAAAGAAAGAAAACAAGCAATTGACAGACAAACGGAAAATACACCAACCCACGCACACAACATACCAACCAAAAATTCCAAAATTCCCAAATTCCCGAAACCCCAAAAAGAGAGAGAGAGAGAGCGTTTCCACCGCCCAGTAGGCCTAGCACCTGACATTATAAAAAAGGAAATTCAATTCTCAGCCTATAAACACGGTTCCCCGAAAATGCCGACGCGCCGTTAACATGCACGCGCCTTTGCTGTTGATCGTCGCCGTCCTGCAGCATTTTCGCGGGGAATTTGCCAGGAATTCTGCGCGATCGCCATTCTGGTTTGAGTTTGGTATTGTTATTATTATTATTGTTATTATTTTTTGTTGTTTGTTATTGTTGTTTTATTATTGTTATATTATTATTATTATTATTACAATTATTTATCATTATTTATCATTATTACTATTATTTATTACTATTATTGTTATTTTTATTATTATTTTATTATTATTATTATATATTATTATTATTATCATTATTGTAATTATTATTATTATTATTATCATCATTATTATTATTATCATAGTTATTTTGTTATTATTATTATCTGTATCATCATTGCTTTGCTATTGTCATTATTGTTATTGTGGTTTTGTTGTTAGTTTTTATTACTACTTCAACTAACACCAGTTATAATTTATTGATATTATTGTCACAGTTTTATCATTATTATCATTGTTTTTTTACTAGTTATAGCAATTATGCCAGTATTAGTATCGGCATTTTTATTATCTTTATTATTTAATCATTCATTTTTACTGAGGAATACAGACATAGCATTATAATAGATAGATCATAAATGAATAAATGAAATGCTTAACAGACGGACAGATAAATTTCGTTGAATAATTGGAAGAAAGAAACGCATTGTGTTGCTTCAGAATTCAGCTTTAAGATATCGAATCCCTGTTTCTCATTACAAATAATTGTATTATTTGTAATAATTCATTGGCATTGCCTCTGTTATGGTTATGGCTATTAGTGGCATTATCAGTATTGGTATTGCTGCCGTTGGTGGTGGTATCATTTTTGGTATTGTGTTTTTTTCTGTTTGTTTAGGTTGCTGATGCTGTTGTTGTATCTGTATCCATCGCTCTCGCTTTTCTGTCTCTCTCTCTCTCTCTCTCTCTCTCTCTCTCTCTCTTCTCTCTT